GAGTGTGAGATATAGCGGTTGGTCGTCAAGGGTGTAGATTCGGCCGTCAGCATGATATCCAGTAGTCACAATGACAGTCGATCCGAATAAACGGAAACGCATATCAGAATCGGTTACCTGAGCCAGACAAGCAGTTCACACAATCAAGAGCGATGAGTACTGAAGCCAATTCAGGAAATACTCGGTACAGACGGATTACTGAAGGGGTTTATTACCTCGTCAATTGTGTCAAGGCAAATGCAGAAACCGTGACCGGTTGTGTGAGCTAAGGGCTTCTTATAGCTGCAGTGCGAGCTATTCATGATCAAGCGGAAGACACAACACTAATCATTCTCATCTTCTACGCGGTCAGAGGTGAGGATCACCTCAGTTATTGTGCGGCACTACAAATCAATCAGACCGCTGACGAAGCTAGAGAGATCGAAAGCAACTAAGAGGAATCGAGGAATGAAAATTCGACTAGGAATGCAATTTGTTGCCTTGAAATTGTTGATGTCATCAAGGATACATAGTAGTGTAAGTAAAGTCCTAATGAGATTAGTTAGGTCCACAAACAACATGCAAAGCTTTTCATCAGGTATTCAAGTGGATGGACATGGAAGCAGAGTAGGGAAAGGAACACTTTAAGAAACTAACAATAACAGCTGACTGAAAGATCGGAAAAAGTGATGGTCATCAACAAACGCCAGATGAAGCTTCATACTCAGCGGAAGGTAGGCGAAAAGATGAGAGCAATAGACCGGAACCTCAAGCGGATGTTTCGCTACCAATTGACTCCAAATGGCTGCATCCTGATTTGGACAGTGCGAAGTCACTCTTAAGTATGCATGATAGAACCGGCAACCCGTGGGTTACAAACCAGACTCGGAACCCCACCGTCACTGATCGGACTCGGCGAAAGCTAGGAGTGAAGTCGAACATTCCGCAAGAGAATCCAACAAATGAAGGTAAAATCTGTATTGCGAATTCAACCTACAGAACAGCGCCGAGAGCTGAAACGGCATCTATTGTCTTAGACTCATAATACAATTACCAATACTTCAATTCCGGAATTAGATCAACAATGAAGTGAGGCGACGTCGCGCTCAACACGAAATTTTACATAAGGTCATTCCTAGACTAAAACACAAGGTTGAAACCAATGCAATCAGCATGGCTGAACAAAGGTTGTTAAAAACTCTCAGAAAATACGAAGCTAATGTTGTTCTTTCAGTTGATGGGGGGGGGGCGTCTTACCGTCAAAAGAGTAACACAAACCAGATAGAGAAAGCAAATAAAGAATCGAATATGTGAAAACGCATCAGCCGACAGACCAAGGCTGGACAAGACACTCGGAAAGCAGAACAAATGGCGCCCCGGAAAGATTGCGGCAAATGGGGAAAGGCATGCGTGGAACATAACGAGATGGAACTGGGGGCCTGGCGGCACTGAAATTTCACGGCCTACCCAAGGTACACAATAGCAGGGCACTAACAACTTCGTTGTGTCTAAACAGAGTAGTGTTAAAGATAGAATACTACACTGGAACCGTATTGACCGTGTTACCTAGTATGGTGACAAGAAGCTTGCAAACAAGTTGCTGAACTCGGACGAAGAGCTAAAACCCTCAATCTTAGATCATTTTGTCTCTTCAGAGTGCATCTGATGTGGCGACACTCGGGTGCTGTTGGTTTCGACGAATGTACTCGGTGATCGACTGTATTCTCGCACGAAAACGCTTTGTAGCGAAGGTTTGGTTGTAAAGCCAAAGGGATAAACACTAAAAACACTGCTCCAGATAGAGTTCTAGAAAATCAAATGACCTCAACTCTCTAAAGCACAGGCAGCTGAGACGGGGTGACATGGTAAAATACAGGAAAAATTCAATCACCGAGCAAATTTAAGCGGCAGTTGGGGAACTTCGTGGACCCAAGGAGGGGGATAAGAAATACCGATGAGTATAGGCTCCTAAGTAGTTCGAAAAGATGTCATGATAAACGTTTAGTATTGAAGACTACTGAAATGATTAGCAAAGTTTCACTAAATGAAGTCTCAGACAACTCAGAGTTGCAATGCACCCATTAGAAAATTTCAAACCTAGGCACCCTTGCAGTCGCTATAGGGGCAAAAGTTTGAATAAGGTGTCTGACGCACTGGCAATGAGAGTTGGACGTAGGAAAATCGCAAATGTGATGGTGTTAGCTGTCGGAGTACGGGCCACTATCAAGAAAAGCAGACACGTTAGGGAAGCTTACTGATGATACGAAGCGAAGTCATGTGTAAAGGAAAGGTATCTGACAGGAAAAGAAATGCTTCAACTTGTAATATGGATGCAAACGGCCAATGATGATTGCAACCACAGGGGGAGAACAGATGGTTTATGTAGTGCCGTATACACCTCTATTCGCACGACAAGTGTTCGGTTTATGCCAGGGAAGTAGGTGGTGTTCAACTCAGTCCAGTTGTTAAGGCATAAGGGATCCGGAAAAAAGTATTAACAGGACTTGCACTGTCCTAGAAAGGTGAAAGGGAACCCCGATACCTTCAAAAGTGATGCAGTCGGTGAAAGCTTAGCCCTAAATTTATGTTCAGAAAAGCTATTAAAGATAATTTTAAAGGGTTCCTTCCAGCGACATGCTTTTAGAAATTCCTCGGTGCGTAAATTGCAAATAATGTGATAATGTGCGTGTACAAACAAGGATGTAATAAACCAGGGGCTTACAGGTGGGCCATAGTTTGAGACTCAGACAAATGTGGGCGTACACGCGCGGCAATCTCAATGTAACTCTTGAAAAAGGATTGAACGGAGATGAAAGCAAACGCTGATTGTCTTATTCCTAAGTCGAAGAACTAGCCAGAGACGAAGCAATTGGAGGTAAACCTATGGGTTCGAGTCATCCGGTTTAGGCTAAGTATGCTGTCAAACTTCAACTCAAGTAAACAAAAGAAATACATGCCAAACGGCTGATCTACAGTCAGTTTGCCGCAACAGAGTGAAGTAGAAGGTAGCTCACATCCGTTCATTTGATCAAATAGGCTTCCGTGAAAAAGGATTTCGTCGAGCAGAACATTCGGAATAGCATATAAGGTGGACATAGGTTAGGTGTTGGCCACTCCAAGCACTGCACGGCTGCGTCAATGTTCGGACTGTTCAGGCAAAGGCAACTGAATTGTTACTCTAACTCAGGACATAGTGCTAGCTACAGATGCCCTCTACATCATTAAGATCTGTGAACAACGCTTGTCACAATGCCTGAGAACGCCATTGGGTGTATCAGTCGAGACATTGCATCTTTATCTGGCCACTGATTTGATTAAACAACCCACAGTCATGTAGAACAGAGATTACATCCGTAGCTGGGTGTCGCTTGCTGCTTCCAGCAGTGCACTCCGTGATGGGCTTACCCGTATCAGAAGTACGTGAAGGAAGAAAAAGTTAGAAAGGACATGTGACACCGTCTGTGACCGTATCAGCAGTACACCGGTACGCAGTACCGACGCTTTGCTGCCGCGCAACTCTCTAACAACTGAGCGTGGGCTAAAGATACTACAAGAGTCGCTCGGTCCCCTACGCAGGCATGAACCCGCGCTTTTGGATTACAATACAGGCTTGTGAACTTTTAGGTCACAGGCCGGACCACAGAGTTGGTTCAACATAGTATGCTTGAGTGTACTTTCATGCAGATAGACGACATGAAGTGTCGCTGACAAATTCGTCTCCAAGATCAGTGATTTCGTTGTGAAGCGGCACAACGTACAGCTGCAGTATGTGCTAGAGATGGATCGCCAATAGTGTGTACCATCTCCAAACAGTGCACTACCGTGTATACAGGTGTGAATACATGCCTAGTCAACAATTCAGCTAAGTGATCTCAGGCATCCCGCCGTACTATCGATCTGTTGCTACACAGTTTCGAGCAGTGAAACGGACAAAGTCGACAGCAAACTAAGCGAAATCGACGAGGTGTAACAGGGAACCATCATCTTAAGTCGATGTGTGCGTGTACTTTGTCATCAGATGCGGGCTAGAAAGAGTCTAATTGGATGGCTTCCTATCGGGATGCCAGAAGAGATCAGCGCTGTGCCAATATCTCCTACTGACGCCCTGTTGCGACCAGTGTCTGCATACGGAATAGGACGTGGCGAGGTTACCCTTGACCAGGTTCTAGTCAGCGGCCTGTGGGTCACAGTCCAAGCATTCGAACCACTGTGTCATCCGTCGGACTTTTCACCAGATAAATAGGAGAGAGAGAGAGAGTACACAGTTCACATGGAACGGCTAAGAGCCAAGGAGAGTTGCGATACTGATGAGAATTAAGCGACGGATCACTTAGAATGTCTAATTGAGTGCAATGTTAGCTACTAACAAAAGATATGAACCGAGCGGGTGGGTCATGGTAAAAACCACATCATTGTAATTTAAATGCTGGATGAAAACGCCGGTTTTGCAAGTCGCGAGTAAGCAAATGTGCTACGCGGAACAACAAACCGTCAGATCTCACAATCAGCTGAACTAAACATGGTGGGGAACACTTCGCGTAAACTAGCTTCTGCGATTAGAAGATGACACCCGATGTGACAAATGCAACACAAGTAGAGAGGAGTGAAGATTGCAAGAAATGTAAGGTTTCTGGTGCAAAGAGATCAGAAGTCACAAAAAAGTCGGCTGGTAGTGTTGTCATCAAAAGATGGACTTCTTTAGGTCATTATAGAGGAGAAAGATGTGCTTACCGCAAACCCAGCAGTCATAAAATACTATCCATGAATGCAACTCTTGGATGAACTAATAAATCAAATGCTCCTAGTAACTTCTTTCATAAGTTTTGAGGAGGGATGTCAACAATGGTAATTTGCAGATCGAAGGTGTAACGACAGCACAAACGAAATGACTACGGTACCCAGTTGTATGGCTTGAAGCGAAAGATGGAATGTAGGAAAACGTGCGACCTTGGTGAAAAACTACAGTGCCGAGGAATGTCGAAAAACAGAAAATTGCAGGCAAACATAACGTAAAAACAAACCTCCACAAGTCTGCACATTTATTTCCGGAGCGGAGAGGTAGTAGTGTTCGCATAGATATTTTGCGTCTTCGTATGCGTCCTCTAATATTTCCAAGACATTGCAATCCGGATCGATGGAGCCAACAAAGCGACGGTGCTTATTCAATTCCGAGCCAAACATGAGAACTGACAGGAAAAAAATGTACAGACGGTAACCAATTGTGAGTAAAACAGTCTTTTACGAGATTAAGAATACTAATGAGATGAACAAAGGAATAAAGATTAGGTAGCAGCATAAAAAAGTCAGCGCCAAAATAGCGGATGCAACACTGCGGGAACAAACGGTAGGTATTTAATGTATGTAACACTTGGGCAATAAACAACTGGCAGAGTGCCAAAAGACATGAGTAAAAACAACAAAAAAGAAGAAAAAGGCAGTCAGGGAAATGGTTACACGAGTTCAAGTGTTGCGTGGGCAGTGAGCTTCCTGGCTGCCCAGGCCGAGTAAGAGGGTTAACTTAAGGGACCCCACCCCGAGGCTTTTGTCTTAAAGACCTGACCCGCAAGGCAGCGGGGCGATTCACGGATTCTGAATATGAAGATCGTTGACAATCAGGTGAATTATTCGCCATTTCCTGTTCGGTTGCAGTCCACACAGAAGCCTGTGATCAGCAAGGTTGTTCATCCGCCGTCTGATAGGTGCTCATCTCGATACAGAAGTGAACGGTCAGTGAACCCATAGCTCTGACACAACGCCGTACGAGCTCTTGTGGTAAATGATGGAGAAGCAAGTGACCAGCCCGGAAGTCCCCACGCTCTGATACGCTGCCGCTGTGTATCCGCGACTGCTTACTCATCTTCCCTGTAAAACAGACGAGAGTTATTCGTAGGTACGTCCACACGGAAGGCAGTCCCCAATCCGCAATCTTGGGGCGCGTCCCATGGCGTACAGTTCCGTCACGAAGGAGCAAACAGGTAGTTGAGAAATAACTAAACAAAACTGAAAACCAACTAAGCCAGTAAGTAAAAAGCGAATCCATCACCCAATTAAACAAAAACTGTTCAAACAAACAACTAACCTAACAGAAATTTGAAAAAACAGTGTATGTGCAAACGATTTAATAAAGTGACTTTCATCCTCAGTAACTGAGTTGATAGTCAAGAGAATGCCTTCGAAAGAACGGTGCATTTGGTTACAGAAAGAGAAAAAATTCAAATTACTGCCAAGCACAAGCCGAGGTAAATAAACTAACTGATATGAGCCATGTATCAAAATGATATCGGTTGAACGTTTCCCTTTCCGAACAATGCAAGTCCAGTTGACTTTAGGCAAAAGCTAAGATCCGGGTACCTAAATGCGGTGGATCTGGTTCCACAATGCTTATCGCCAGGATGTCAATAAATATCGATGGTGAGAAAAACGAGGCCCAAAGCAAACAGGATACAAACAAAAGGAAAATAAGAAACGAGCAAGTAAATATAATCGCAGTGCAATGGGAACAGAAGAATACCGGAACCCTAAAGAAGAAGCGTCATGAACTGCGGGACTGCACCATGTAGGACAGTTTCCAACCAATGATGTGAACCATCCTGAGACCCCTATCCATGAAGACTGCACGCATCAGCCTGGCCAAACGTCTCGGTCAATGGTTACATGCGTCCATGCCACGCTATCGATCAGCCACCTCCCGGTTTCGCCCGACTTGGTGCAGTGACAGCACATAATGCGTGCCGAAGAAGGTGGTCAATGGGCATGTATAGGACGTGACCTAGGTGACGTGGGCGGTTCAAATTCAACAGATACTTGAGTGAGTTTACCAAAGGGTTTCTAGCCAAAGGCAAACTAGTGGATCTCAACATTATTCACCTGGTGTTCTCGCCAGATGAGAGCAATACTTCGTAAGCATTGGTGCTCAAGGACGGTCAATCACTTCAGTGCAAAGTGGCCAGGTTTGTGATCCATAAAGTCACACCAGTCTCATCGAAATGTTCCACACCATACATTTCACTAACAGAACGATGTCTCGCTGGATTCATAGAGCGTTGGATCTCGAAAAAGCCACATGTGCCTTGCTGATGTGCAAAATAATCTCCTCAGTGATGTGGCCACCAGAGGTGATACAGCTATCAAAGTAAGGGAACCGATCTACTACTTTCAGTGGCTGTTCGGTGACAGGTAAAACCGCTGGCACATCCGTCCAGCTCTGCAACAATACCGTGGTAAAAAAAGAAAAAAAGGTTTCAGCAATATTCCGGTAGGCAGTACCGACGCTTCGCTGCCACACAACCGCCATCGGTCGCACGTGATCTGCGGATACTGCAGGGGTCGCCCTTACCCCACACAGGCTCGAACCCGCGCCGTCAGATTACAAGACAAGGCCACGGGACGGACTACATCAGACCCACGGAGAGCTAGGCATTTCGCATACTCAATGTATGTCAAATTTTCACCTGACAGAACAAGACTCCTGGATCAGACGACTTTGTTGGTTGTGCCCGAGGGTGAGACGTGGCTAGAGCTTCTGCTATACGGTTTGTGAACTCATCTCTTAATTCACAGACGCTATCCATGTAGATGCGGGCAACCTTGCGTTATACCCAACCCTCACGGGACCGCCAATGGTCGCATGGTAGCGGAGCATCGGTGCGATGTGCTAGCGTCTGCTGGCATCTTCAGAAGGCTGTCCAGGTAGCTAAATTTCCAAAAACTTGAACCGCTCAGCCATTGGCTGACTGGTGCGACAGTATAGCACTCGCTCTCCAAATAGCAGTAAAGTGTCTAAGTTTGGAATTGCGTAGTCTTCGGCTAAACGCATACTTCGCGAAACAACTCTATTGAGCAGAGTTAGGCTATTAGTTGTTGCTGATGGACAAGGTGAATGAAATGGCTGTTAGTTAACAAGCACTGCTCCTCCGGTTATATCAACTGAAGTAAAAAAAAGATAGACAGAAGACGAAGTAATCAATTTCAGAATACCCGGAGAACTCTGAAGCGGATTCTAACCAGGAACTTCAGGAAAGATAGACAGGATTGATGCAAAAAGGGAGCTAATGCTATGGAAAATAGCCCAGTAATATATTATCTCTTCCAAAGGTTGAGCTCAAGAAAGGGTCCAGTGGATAGGACGACAGATAAAAAGACGAAGAGGGAACACATTCACAGATCTATCGGTGTAAACGACGAGTGGAACAACCTGAAAAGTAATTCCGTCATCATGCCGTGTGAACGTCTCGATCACTGAATCATATGAACACACAGAACGTGTTGACATCATATCTCACAACAGCAGTTAGACTCAAGGTGGAGTGGTGATGACGAAGCAAAACAATACCAATGAATTCAGAGATCTCCGTCCACTGTGACTAGACGATGGAGGGGATTCACCACTGGTTGCTTCAAGCCATCTTTTAGACAACAGAAGACGAAATAGAGGGATGCCGTAAGAGTGGTGACTGGTAAAACCCATCCAGGGTACTAAAAAGGATCATAAAACACAACAGAGGAGGATCGAGATATTAGCTCTGTTGCTATCGTATTCAGATTGCACATGGATATAACTCTCGCAATCAAACGAACGTCAGGCTGAGTTCTGCCCCGCCGGAGGTTGGAACGAACATGCATCAACACCTTGCTGAATGCTAAAATGACTACTGATGTCCGTTCCCGGAAGACGTGCTATTGTAACTGCGAACAGTTGTAGGTTGTCAGTGACACAGAGAGACTGCGGGCGTTCCGGGTTGCAGTATCCACACACAATGTGTTCGGTGTAGACCCTAAGCCGGGGACCTTAAGAAACAGATGTACGAAGGGCCGATGCTAACCGAGGCCTATTTCATGATAGAACTTGTTTGAATGTAAAAAGAACATAACAGTGCGCAGTCCATCTTAGAACAAGTAATTGATGCGAAAGATAGGACGGGTAGGCATCTAACAAATTGTCGTACCTATCACAGTCAGACCTGGCGAACCAATATGGGATTGACCTCAAGCATGCAACAATATATGCTTGCTTGAACATGTGTACTCTGATTGCGACGACGAATCATGTGCGTTACATTGATTGCAATTCCAAGACAATTCTTCGGATGGCGACATATATAAAGATGACCCGTCACCATCTCCGTTAAGTTGAAAGCTATCTTTGGTTCAGTCGAGCGCATTTAAATGCAGCAATAACCCGTTTCCAAATTCTCCGAATCTGTTACCCCAATGATAGTAAATGACGTCGCCCCCTTGTTTTCTCTGAGATGGAAGTTCTACCAAGAAGCCGAGAGACAAAGGTAGCGTGTGTGGATGATTACAGCCCTCTTGGGACCGAACTTGGCAGTAGCTCTGCCGGACAGGTTAACAGAGTAAAATAATTTCCTGGATGTGTTCCGCACTTGCAGAGCGCAAGGCAAGGCAACGAGATGAACTGATATAAGACCTGTTCTTACTGCTACTGAACAACAACTCAAGCCGGTCGAGTGGTTCCATTATCTTTCAAACACCCTATCAATTTCGGTTGCCGGCTACTTATGCGATGCTAGTGATTTTAACCTCTTTTCCAACCGAGATAAATTGGTACATATCGTTGTTTTTCGCTCCAGTCATTTTCTGTGGCTATGAAACTAATGGAACCAAAATGTCCGGGTTCGAAACACAATTGGTTCGACGAAACGGCGGAACATGGTAACTATCATCTAGAAACAGACCACTGTGTGCTGCACCAAACCATTCGTTGAACTTAACCAACTGATGCTGTTCGAGTGAAACATTTAACGTGTTTCTGTAGTACTAATCAGGTCTACCTGCATAACGACAGTGCAGCTGGTTGGAGGAGAACTTAGGATGGCCGATGTTAAGGAAGCCCGACTATAGTAGCCTTCGGGTGATCTATCTTGAAACTTGCCAGTGAGCGCGTTATTTCGACAACAAACAAGTGCATTATCAGGCATCTAGTAATGGTTGAAATCCGAAGACTCGCAACAGGTCATTTGCTTATGAGCTATTTATTTGACCTCAGTATTTGCGGGGTGTTTGATAGAGTTTTTGACTAAACCCTCTGTCTTCTGATTTTAGAAGTCAGCCAGTCCAGATTGAGAAATAGGAGCAGGTTATCCGTACGACAAGCGGAAACCACAACAGCCGAATATAAGGATAAAGATGCAGAAGAGAAACGAAAGAAAAATGAAAACATGATAATGTGTATCAGTTAGCCCGGCGGTGACCGAAAGGACAAAGTATCTGCCTTGCAACCCGGAAGTCACGAGTTCGAGTCCGTGTAGGGGACCAAGTGACCCTCGAAGTATCCTTAGCCTACGCGCAACTGGTGATGGTCACGTGTCAGCGAAGCATCGATACGATGTACCGGAGTAATGATGATGACTTAACTTTGAATATCACCATTTTTAGATGAGAGCTGTGGCACAGAACATACAAATGTTTGAAAGCCCAGTTGAAATGACGCGGTAGAGTGGTGCCGTTGTCTTGCTGCCAATTACTAATCCTTCTAGCAGATTGTGTAACCACATGCTCTTTGATCCGTTTGCCTGATTTTTCTACTGGGTGGTTCCCTTATTGGTAAGGTGGCATGAACAAAGGTATCCTAGTTCATTCCAAATATGGTGTGCCTGGATGCACTTGAGAATAAACCAGTTATTTATTTATCGCTGTAGAAACGATCCGATACGTTCAGCCTCAAGAGTTTGTGCAGAGTAGAAGATCAAGGGCTAAGGGTGAGAGACCAAGCAAGTAGTTAGTGAAATTCAACTGTACATTCAGGAATGCAAATGAACACTGAAGAGATAACCCGCCTCACACACCAGTAGTGTCAATAAAACCAACAGCTTCTTCAACACTTGCGGTGTTGCCACAAAATGAACTTCACACAATCTTTTAAGCTTAACTAAAAGGCACCGGGTGGCAGTTTCGGTTCATTTAGAGGTTCAGTGTAGCTGGATCGACAGCCAGTGTCAGCAGCATCGTGTACCAACGGAGAAATGCTCTAAAACAGTAAATGCCTGTAATGTTTGTTCGATTTGTTAACTATGGCCTGAGCACCGAGATAAGGTCGATTAGGTTGTTGTGAAGCAGGTCACTGAAATGACAATAATACTAATAAGAACTCAGTAGTGAAGGAGAATGCAAATTCTAAATAAGGCAACGAGAAGACTGGTATTGCGAGATGGAACCATTTCGTGTTATCTGCTCACTCGCAAACTAACAACTTAAATATGAATTAGGTGACAGAAAAATTGTAGGTTTGAAACTAAACACAAAAGGAAATTACGTAGACGCAAGTATAACAGATCGACGGGTTTGAGTTTGGGGTCATAAGCCCCAGGAAGCTTTAGGGAGACTGTTAATATTTTTGCGACCGGTTTCAAACCTTCGATTTTTCTGGCACGTGATTTATATTTGTTGTTAGCTTATGAGTGAGCAGATATCACGAAACGGTTTTATCTCGCAATACCAATCTACTCATTGTTTTATTTAGAATGATAAAGGGAACTCAGTGCTTCAGAATCCAAATTGTCATATAGAATGGTTAGGAGCTCAAAATGAGGAAACGAACGCAATAGCGTCACAGACTCAGTGACTAGTTAAAGTTTGCTAGCAGAATCGAACGGTAGAAAGATGAAAATAGTACACAGTGGATAAAGCACTATCGCTGGAGAATAGAATCAGGTAAATGCAAAACAAGTATGAAGTCGCAAGGGGAACAAGACGATGAAAATGCATCCATGAGTAAGGTAGATAAAACTCACGGTGTTGGTTTATGAGCATTCGCAAACTTATGCGCATCATATAGAACCTGTCGAGAAAATATTGCAGCTGGTTGTCCGTAATAACATCGGTCTTATGACGGTCCTTCATTTCCATCACACCTTGGGCCATAGTTTCAACAGTATTATTATGCCTGTTTCTGATTTCAGCCAATCGACGATTGAAGGAATCGAGGCGACCCTCAGTCCAGTTCGTGCCCTCGAATTCAACGAGGTCACAGAAGCTCTGCTCGTACCTGAGATGAATAATGATGTAGCACAGAGTACTTACCATTGTTTAACGATGGAGGCAGATGGAGTGCTAACTAGCTGCTCAGGGAGAAGGTGTATTTCTTGCATGACATTTGCCAACCGCACCGGAAGCTCATCACAAAGAAACGTGGCTGACTTCACGGCAGAGCCGGATCGCCCAAAGGCGATCAGCTTCTTTAATGATAACGGGGTAGGAGAATACGACCCATATTTGGCAAACCGCTCGGCGTACTTTCCAGTCAAAACCATGAGAACAGAGGTAAATCTCATTATTGCGGAGTCAGCCAAAGAAAACACAACAGCATCTCATTTGCAAGAAGCCTTCAAACTCAAAAGTTCCACCGATCTTTGCGATGTCGAAAAATTAAGGCAAATTTCGCCACCTTGTGTGTGAAGGGAACAACGGGGCGTTGTATAATGCGTTCGGTCCGGGATACCGATTTCTTGTGTCCGATTCGTAGGGCTGGAATGCGGAGCAATTACTTCGTAGGTAGTTGGATATCAGTATCACAACTACCTCGCAACCCAGCCAGCAGTTTGAAAGTTCGTAATGCACATTACGAACTATTATATACATTAAGAAGCCTAATGCTCAATCTCAAGTTCAAATGGAATTAGAACGACATGATAATCCCTTGTGCACTTCTTCAGTGGATCGTTGAATGGGGAATCGACAGGGCGATCCGACATTTTGATGAATCTAAAATGAAACACCTGCATCATACGCTGGCCAGCCAGTCGCCGCGCAAGTATCGCCACTTTTGGGCCGGTTGTGCGAACTAAGACAAAGGGAACAATAAAGTCGAAGGTAAAAAGTGGAGAATCGGTCAAAGATAGATAACGCCAAGTAAGGAAGACTACAAAAATAAAGTGCACAGCTGAATTCACGGGTCGATTGGGGGAAAGAAATGGTTAGATGTTACTATCCATAAACATCAAGTCGAAACTTAAAACCCTCAACCGTAGATTCGTAACATACTTTGGAAATGGGCCCCGGTGCTCGACAACTCGGTGCGGGAAGTGGGTTTCAGTTCCAATCCGGTTAGGATATGGTTCATAGGATAAATGTGGAGGCAAAATAGCTTAGCACGGCTAAGTAGCCAAAGCAAGTCCGGGCCGGAAGAAGACAAGTATAAATCGAATTGCTCAGAATCCTGCGATAATGCACTGAATACATTCACAGCCTAAGCAACCGCTACGGATGTCTACCTCATAATCACAATCTGTGTACAGATAGTGTCATCGAAACTAAGTTAACACACCTGAGAAATCCCCTCCAATCCAAAGCTATTCAGAATGAAACTTGGTGGATAAGCCTGGACACAGTACACTAAGTGGGGCCGCACGAAAGCTGACGGTAGCCTCATAAGCATGACAGCCGCGAAGACTATGAAGTAGCGCGGTATCAAACACACAATACGGAACCCAATATAAGCAGTCTTCTTCCAACCGTTTCCAAAATGAAGGGTTGAAGAGTGAAAACACCTGGATCAATCCGCTCAACGACGACAAGGTTTTCACCCCTGCGAATAACTTATCCCGTGGATTGGCCAGTTGCGCCAACTCATCAAAGGGAATAATCTGTCTGGTTTAACGATATCAAGTGTAAGGTACACCAGTTCCAGAGTCTATCCAAAGTTGTACAGCTTATACAATCCGAAGAATATCGACAATGTCACAGAGCTCTAGGTCATCAGCAAACGATAACCGCAATATCTCAAGCTCCTCAGACAAACCCTTTATATAGATTACGAACATGAAAGGTACCGAAAACGCATCCGCTGAGGGTCTGTTCAAAAGAAAGGCCATTACGTAAGTGCACAAACTGTTCTCCTATCCAGCCGGTCGGTGGCCGAAAGGTTTGCATGATTCGTTAACAATCTTTGAACCACCGGTTCGAATCCGCATAGTGGAGGGTGTCCTCGCAGTATATTAAACTCGTCAGTCACAATGAAACTGCACCTTAAGGTGGTGCGACGATTTGCGTACCTCTCTGACCCATTGAGCTATAGTGGGTGGTGTCTCCGAGACCCTTGAGAGCTACTCCTACCAAATTGGTCAGTGGTTAGAGGTCAGACAAACAGCCTCCTGGTCCACCAGGTTGAGGGTCTGAAATGAGATGGCGTACATTTCCGTAGAACTAAACCATTGCCACCTCCATGCTGCCTTGAGAACAGGTTTTTGAGACAAACACTTTGGTTTAAGACCCTAATAATCCTCCTGTCCAGGTCTGGGCGTCCTGGTAGTACCTCAGCCCACACACACAACCGTGGCTATTTCTCCAAACTTTACTCACATCCTGCATCGGCCGTAGTACAGATTATCAAGGGTCACACTATCTGCTGCATACAGTAGAGCGGATAACCGAAAACATGCGACTGCTGGCGCCTCCCCTCTTTATTTCCCATCTGCTTCTCTTACTCCCATCCAGACCCCAATTATTAACGTTCCTTGTATAATTCCCAGCCTAACTGACAGCAACCGAAGTACCAATGGTGTAGAACCATCTGCAGTCACCTTCCCACAACATCCACCGAATGTCTATCGCCAAAAGTCCCTTATAAGGCCATACTGTTCCGTTTGGCTGGCGGCATTCAACGTTCGCACTCTAAAACAAATAGGTCAACAGGCTTCACTCGCACGTATGTTGGACACACTGGGTATTGACGTACGTTGTGTGTCCGAAAATAGGATCAATGACCATAACGGGGTTGTTGAATTAACTGCGCCCGGCTTGTTCTCTTGTTATTGGTTGCACGCATCCGGAGATGCTGATACAGTACTCACCGGTCAAGCTGGGGTAAGTCTCATTCTAAGCTCCAAAGCTGAGTCATGGTGGATTGATTGGATTCCGGTGAACAGCCGTTTGTGTGCAGCCCGTTAGACGACATCGACCAATGTTGGTTCGCGAACGAGTACAAAACGCTGTTTGTTAGTGATTTCCGCTTATGTTTTCTTAAATACTGTGTCGAATTGCTAAGTCCACTAATCGATCTACTTCGCGGACGCAAAAACGGTCAGGTGGAACTGACTGTTGCTGCTGCCGAAGCGTTCAAGGCTAGCAAACAGGTCTTAGCCAAAGCCATTATGCTACACCATTTCGATCCGAACGCTCCGCTCAGTGTTGCTGTTGACGCATCGGACACCGCCATTGGCGCCGTTCTACAGCAATATACTGATGGATGCTGGCAACCTCTTGCTTTCTACCCTAGACGCCTACAATCTGTCGAAGTCAAGCACAGCATGTTCAGTCGCGAACTGCTGGCGGTTTACTCCACAGTTCGACATTTCCGACATGTCCTTATCATCACCGATTACAAGCCGCTTATATACGCATTCCGAAATCAATCAGCTCGATACTCATCACGTGAGATTCATCAGTTGGATTTCATTGCTCAATTCTCGACTGATATCCGACACATTTCTAGTCAACAAAACGTCGTCGTTGATGCACTTTCAAGAGTATCTGCGGTCGGCCCTGCCGGGCTGGCAATCGATTTTTATGCTATGGCCGCCGCGCAATCAAACGATGAGAGTTGTTGGAACTCCGTGATGCTCCTTGGAAGGTATTCCTACACCCTTTGCCATCATGTGATGGTACAATTTATGTCACAAACCTACCGGACGACCTGGACCCGTCGTTCCAAAAACCTTTCGCCGTATCATTTTCGTCACCCTTCACATCAATACCCACCCAGGCATTAGGGCCACTGTTAAACCCATCTCCGAGAGATATGTTTGGCCGGGGATGCAACGCAACCTTACACGCTGGGTACGCATTTGTATCACCTGTCAACAAGCTAAGATTCAACGGCACATGTCCGTTCCGCTTGTTCGCTTTCCGCCAGTTTCAGCTAGTTTTGCCCATGTCCATCTTGATATAGTTGGACCCATGGCACTGTCCAAAGGAATGATCTACATTTTGACTATGACCGACCATCGCACACGTTGGCCCGAAGCCATCCCCATTCCTGACGTAGTTGTGGAAACCGTAACGCGCGCTTTCGTTGAGCGCTGGGTCGCTACACACGGCTGTTCAGCCAAAGTGACGACTGACCGCGGTCCGTAATTAGAATCTTCGACTTTTACTGATGCTCTTAAACTCACTAGATGCCGGCACATTCGCACGACCGCCTATCATCCGCAGGCGAACGGCATGATGGAACGCTTCCACCGAAAGCCTCACTTAGCGTTGTCAATGCGCTGAGTTGGACTGAGGTGCTGCCTATGATCTTTCTTGGGATTCGATCAACCCTAAAGGCTGATCTACGTACATCTAGCGCCGAATTAATATATGGACAACCACTATATTTACCTGGTGATTTCTTTTCCGATAGCCTCAGGGTTCCCCATTACGACGCGAATTATGCACGTCAGCTAGCCCCAAGCATGCGTCACTACAAGCTTCCGACGTTAGAGAACGACGTAAACCATTTGTTCCCTAAGACCTGCAGCAATGTCCGTTCGTTTTTCTCAGCAGACCACTGGAGCGACCTTACGAAGGTCCTTTCAATGTTCTGCAGCGTAAGGACCGTGTGTTTATCATTAACCGCCACGGTAAACAAGAAGCCGTTACGATAGATCGTCTCAAGGTTGCCCACGTGGAACCTGAGCTCAATGAAGACCGTTGCTCGTCTTTTGAAGAATTAGGTCAATCTATGATGAAAGAATCGCCTGCTTCCAATACCCTTGACCTCAAGCATCACCCTCTAGCTAAAACTACCACTCCACCTCCGTCGCCTCCCATCGAAACAACCGCCACGTCTTTTGCAACTCCTCCAACTTTGTGATCTGATAGAATGTCTAAGACGACATATTCCTCCGATCCGTACAAGTCGACTAGGCGCGTTCATTATCCAGCGTGATTAAGGGATCAGTATGCCTTCCATTTTTATTTTCTCGCTTTCCTTTTCCCTTTTGGCCAACATCCAAAAATCGGCAGTTTTTGAAAAACCAAAAGGAACACAAAAGGTTTTGAAAACTCAAAAAAGAAGCAAACGTTTTGTAAACACCAAGTTGCGTTTTGCTTGATGCCTACCTCATCCGTTGTTATTGTTGCTTTTGGCTACGCCACCACTGTCAGTGTTTTTGTTTCCGTTTATCTTCCAAGTATGAACCGGTGATGACGCGTCGGAAGCTAACATTTGACATTCACGAACTTGCAAACATTTGACGCTTGCGAACTTTCCCCCATTTTGTTCTTGGCACTTTAGGGAGGACAAGGGTGGGAGCCCGCAAGGGTCCGATCGCCTGGTTCTTCCCTAGCAGTTACCTCAAGTTTCACCAACTGATCTCGCAGAAGGCTGGCCTGCGACCGACAGTCCTCAAGTTCAAGTGGGACTTGAACGATAGGAGAATTCCGTAAGTGTTCCATATTGAGTGGATTGTTGAGCCAGGGATTGATGAAGTGCTCAGAGTTCTTGATGGATCTAAAACGAAACACTCGTATCGCACCCTGGCCAACCAGGTAATGCCCACGTTTCCTGCCCTAGCAGTCCCTGCTGTGGCAGTCACGTGAAGTAGGCAAAGGATAGAAATCGAAACTGAATTGAAATAAGAAAATAATATCAATGCATAGAGAAAGTAGAGAAAAGAAAATCGAAGTATAAATATGCGAGTTACTCAGGAAAAGGTTTCGTGTTGCCTCCTGAGCGTCAAGTTGCTGCTCAAAGAATGTTGCAGCGCCCGACGACTCGGTGTGACAGACAGATTTCGCCCTAATCCGAACGAACCGCGGTTTGTCCAACTTCATGGAATGACCGCGTAGAACAGACAATCTAGCGGGACTGAATAGCCAAGATAAATCTGGACCAAGGTTCCCAGTTAAGATACGGT